GATGACATATAATCTAGAGCAGAAACTTGTATAACATCAGATAGAGTCTATAGACTATTAATATGATAATTTATACATGTAAAAAAACCTTAAAGAACAATTTAAAGTTTTAAAATCAAATCAAAAATTTTAAATTTAATTACAGATGCAGGTAACTAGAAAGTACTAAAATGTTCTGAAATCATTTGGAATGTTATTCCCAGTAGATTATAATAACTGAGAGCACTCTCTAACACATAATTGGATGAAAATATTTAAATAACGTATAGATCTAGTTATAGCTTACAACAAAATCAATATAAACAAAATTAAGCATGTGCAAACATTATTCATCATCATAAATAAACATCTGTCCGTTTACCATAATTGACGTAAAAGTTGTCATATGTGAGAAATCAATACAATAATATAATAAACTTTCCAAGAAATAATCAGAGTACCGAAAAGTACAATAATATACAACAATAATAGATGGTAATACATGTGTTATATAAACTGCAATTGATGCAGTGGTGCGCTAAAATCGAAAATACCAATCAATGAAAAAAGAAAATATAGAGAGACGTTAAGGTACAGATTAAACACCCACCTTTAGATAGTTCTGAGAATAAAAATGTGATATAAAAGGCCGCAATACTCGGTTGGCGCAAACTCTACATCGGTCGAGTTTTTTCGAGATTATTCGGAATAGCTGTTTCGGATCGCCTTAAAGTTATGATGCAAACAGCGTAGGAAGCACGTTATTATCGATTGTTCCCTTTTAGAAATAAATAATATATCATATGTGTAGGTTTAGAAAATAGTGTAAATCTTCAATTCAAAGATATACGGATCTCTGAGTGGGGTGATATTGATATCTTTATGGAAAAATTATAATGTGTACTATTTTCCTTTCCTGCTTCTCAAAAAGTATTGCTTGCTACTGAAATGTTTTAATACGGTCGGCTTCACTCAGTTAATATATACTTTTACTCATTCTAACACATGTGTTGAAACAGTAGTGACTAATTATACAATTTGAGGATCACCCTGAGGTTAAAACGGGAGTCAAAGTAAATTTAATTATCTATAGGTTTATAGTGGAGAGCGATAGTTTCAAAGGAGCATCAGTGTTCTGGGAAATGTATGTGGTAAATTATTAATCAAAGTCGCCCAAGCACACCATAATAAGATTAATGCCGGATTTGACCCTAATGTGGTGTAAGACCTATTTCTGAATGATGGGTACTTTTGAAACAATTATTAATTAAAATATGTTCCGTTTAGAAAATAAATTTCGTTACTTCCTTGATATAATTAACGTTATAAGCTTTAGTTTTTCATTCGATAAAACATGACTAATCGACATTATTGATTTCTTCAAATCAATTTTTGCTGAAGAAGTTTACGATCTACGTGTAAAACTAATTGATAAGATGAGATGTAGACTGTCTCTTATTAAGCAGCCTAAGCTTAAAAAAGCATTTAAATACTTTCGGAACTCTATTACTCAACGTACTTTTGCCATGGTTTCAGCTGTTTTGAAAGTTCTAGTCGGCTAAGATCGGCTTAAGCAACGAACAAGGAATAGTGACTTAATGCTGTGCTTCTGGAATGTGAGAACTCTCTGAAAATGTAAGAAGCAGAGATCTCCAAACACTAGGACATATCCTGGCAAAGTACAAGGCTGGGATAATCGCTATTCAAGAAGTTAGATGGATCGGGTGGGATTACCACCAAGAGGGATTATGTCGCCATGAAAGTAGACATGAGTTCAAAACTGCCTACGAAAAGATAATTGGTTTTGAACCATTGATTTCCAGAAAGTACAGTCTAAGGGTTAAGGGAAAGTTCTTAATTAGCTTTATTAATATGGATGTCCCCACCGAGAGAAAAAGTATAGAAGAAAGGATTCTTTTACGAAGAGCTGGAAGCTGTCCCAAACCATGATATAAATATCATAATTCATAATTCAATCATAATTGAAGACTTCAACGCAAAACTGTTAAGACAACAGTACCACGAACACGTAAGAAACAACAGCCTTTACGAGAAAAGCAATGAGAATGGAGAATGGGTGGTAAATTTCGCAGCCTCGAGGAGTCTGGTAGTAGGGAGCACAATATTCGAAAGAAAAGACATAAAAGCAACCTGGGTTCCCCCGGTGGACACACTGACCTGTCAGTTACACGAAATATACGAGCAAATATGGATTATAGAAGAAATGCCCGAGGAGTAGAATCTGGGGATCATCATCTATCCTATTTGTGCAACGTCAAAACTTGAAGATTGGGTTATTAACACAATATCGACACATTCCATATGTTCATCGACTTCAAGTCCTCTTATGACAGCACCATACGAGCCAAACCGTCCAATGATCTATATGTCCTCAACATCCCAAGAAAACTAGTAGACTTGTTGAATGACAATGAGGAACGTCAGATGAAGCATAAAAATGCAAAATAACAGAGAATATAGGAATAAGTAACAGACTACGCCAGGAGAACGCGTTGTTGTGTCGCCTATTCAACATATTATGTCTCTATTCTAACATAAATACTAGTACTAGAGGCACGATAATAAATAAGTCTACACAACTATGGCTTACAAATAAACGAACAAAAAAACAAAGGGCATGCCAATGCCAATAACTACCTCGATGCGCATCATTCGTTACTAGGAGAGAATCTTGCAATCGACACTGAGAATTTCTAAATAGTGGGGAGTTTACGTATCTCGGTTACAGCGTGAACTCGTAGAATAATCGCACGATTTTCAAAGGGACGTGTAAAAACGAAACATGGCGAAGCAGACAAACTTTGATTTATACCAACTGTTGGGAAAACACGAGAAACTAGATGGAATCATGCAATTGTAATGGGCGGGACATGTGGAATTAGCATCATCGGAAGACAGAAACAAGGAAGACCTAAACGCAGGTGGAGAACAGCTGCACAGAATAAGGATGATGGAGAAGGAACTTTGAAAGGCCAGGACTCGCACAGGGTTGCAGCGCCACAGTTGATAATGAATATTATTGGAAGAAATATTAGGGCAATAGTTCATCATTTAAAGAGTCAGAGTACATTTCCAGAAAAAGAAATGCGTGAAAAGAAGTAGTTTATATACGCCTAAAGGTTCGATAGATTTGGTCTAAGAAATTCACAGTAGCTTCTCAGTAGAGAATAAAAACTATATGAAACAAATATTTCATAGTAACATTTTCCATAGCTTTCCATATAATTCGAAAACGAATTTTTTAGCTTGTTAAGTTTTCCTACCATTACAGATTTTTATTAATACAAAATATAAAAAGTGGGGTTTTGCACCAAAATGTTCAATTAGGGATCTATAGGCCAACGCCATTTTTCCCATTGTTTTCAAATATTTAAAAAGATATGCTTAGCAATAAAATTATAGCTAAAAATAATTCCCTGCTTACGTCTGCACAATATAGATTTTGTAAAGGTGCACATGCACATGTTATAAACGTGGGTTGTGACTGATTAGAAGTTTTACTAACCCATAGAGGTCAACTATAGATATGGTACTATATATGCCGATTAAATAACACAATAAATTTTTATTAATAAAAGTTATCATGAAATCACACAGTCGAATGTGGATACTGCATTTATATGCAGAAATGTAATTTAATTCAAACAAACTTTAATTAAATACTGTGACAACAATAGTTACGTACACAATCCTGATTGTGTCAAATTTCTGTGCTTTTGTTGAAATCGTAAATTAATTTTGGAATTAATGAAGAAATAAGTTTAGATCAGTTGAAGTACATGTAAAAAAAAATGTATCATTCCCAAGATTGTATAAGTAGATTCACTTATATTAGGGTTAAAACGGTTATGAGACTAGGAATGGAGTACAATTGGTAAGTAATTTTTACAGGTTTACTCAAAGTAAATGATTCCTTATGATTATAGTCTTCTGGGATTCAGGCAAAAAGTAATTCCAAAAATATGCCCTTTGACCTCAAAACAAATTATAATTACAAATTAGTCATTTGCCACTACATAATTAGCTTTCACAATACCTATCAATCTTAGTTACTATAAATCATTAATCTTCTGTAAATTATGTAGTAGTACTAGCAGTAAATGTATAGCACTAACGAAAATTCATTTTTATTAAAATGCTGTCAGATAAAGACACACACGTTATGAAAACTGTCCAGGTTTGTATCGATATAACGCCTCAACCGCAACGTCAGCTTAGTTATAGTAAACCATGCATTTCTTGTAATAATATACGTGTAGTAAACGTACAGTAATAACGAAAATACATTTTTATTAAAATGCTGTCAGATAAAGATACACATATTATGAAAACTGTCCAGGCTTATATTGATATAACGTCTCGGCTGCAAGTGACTTCGACTTAATTACTACAAATCATTAGTTACTGTAAATCATTAATCATTTGTAACAATACGATCAGCACTAAAAAATGCAGTTTTATCAAAATGCTATCAGATAAAAACACAAACATGAAAATTATTCAGCTTTGTGTTCAGCTTTGTAAGGCCTCGGCCACAAACGACTTTGGCTTAGTTACTATAAATCACGCATTTCTTGTAGTAAATACGCAACAAAATCGAAAATTCGTTTTCATTAAAAGATTTAGTTTATAGTTGATTTAAATGAATATGAAAAGTAAATTGATATTAATGAAAACTCAGCAGATTCACGTGTATATGCTAAAATAAGCTCATATTTGATCCCTTTGATACTTGATAACATAATAATGCAGTTAAATTTTAAAAACTTTCTTTATGAAAATGAATATTTGCGGAACTCTCTGTTCAACGTACTTTTGACATAGATACTGTTGCCAATATGTTACTCTATGATAAAATTATTGAGGATAAACGTTACTTATAACACTCATGTTAATCCTATATTTTGTTCATAATGCAAATAACTACATATTATAAAACATATTTAATTTCCAAATACTATTCTCAAATATAATAATAAATTGCTTATGAATACACTTACCCCTCTCGAGTCTCTAAATAGTATTGCTGCGTGTAATGGATCCAAGCTGACATCCGAAGCCCTATGAGGAATTACTGTACCCTGGGAGTGTCGTCTACCCGGATCTATTAATCTTTTTTGCGCGCCTGCAAAACAAAATCGAGACAAATCAGAGAACAGAAAAAAAGTCTAAAAAACATGTTATTTTTAAACATTAATTCAAACGACCACGTGTTATTTAAATTATCAACCTTGGATTAAATCCAAAAAAGATTTATTATTATCAAAAACATATGATCGCGCTTAATTACCTAGCTTCAATTCGATTTGCTTCAATCAACTTCAAAACTCAAGTAAGTATTAAAATAAATTGAGTTATCTGTAAAACAATTTTAGATAAAATGGGCCAAGTCTAAGAAAAAGAGAAAAAGTAATAAAGAAGGAAAAACATCCGCGTTTATTTATAAAGTTAAAAAAGAATTTATACTTTAGCTTCCTCGTATACAATTTGTATTAATATAAGTGAAGGCAAAGAGAAAAATAAAAAAGATTAAATAAACACATTAAATAAATTAAAACTTACCAGTAGAAAAGGCTCTCCTCCTATAAATGTTTGCCATTGAAAATTAATGTTAAAAGAAAATAGAACGAAAAAAAAAATAAGTCAGCAAGACTCGATGAATAGAATCGCACGCATGCTGGTAGTTACAAGGTGTTTTTGTCACTGACACAAATTCGAACAGATAACCGATAAGGAATCCGAACACTTATACCCATTTAGACAACAAACGAAACAGTTATAAAAAAAGAAAATATCGGTTAATTTAACAAAAATAGAAATTAAACTAAAATCTATTCCTTAACATTTACGTATTAACTTTAATTTTTTAGTTCACATAGCAACAAGAAAGACAATAAAAATTAAAATTTTATCTCTTCGTATTTGATTTCTTTGTTTACCTTCTTTTAAAATAGAATCATATATTCTATAAGTAGCTTCACAATCACTAATGGGCCGTTTAATCGCTCCATCCAACGATTTACTCCTAATTCGAAACTCATCCAAAACTTTATTACCATCTTCACTACAAGAATTTCTTCTGTGACCACGTTCTCCAATCCAATTGTTAACTTTTTTTCCAAAATACCGTTTTAATTCTTGTATCGAATGATGATGGTGTTGTCTTTGCCGTGGTGAACTCGCCGCGAAAACATTTTCGACTTTTGGCGAAGAACTTCCTGGCGTATCAATGGGTTCGGAAGAACTTCTCGAGCTCGTTCCAGAACTACTGCTAGTAGTTGATGTTCCGGAAATCGTATGGTAAGGATTGTAAGGTCTTTGATGCAAAGCTTGAAATTGATGGTGAAGATGTAACGGTAGATGTGGATGATGATTATTAACTCCGTGCATTGTGTTGCTATAAATGTTTCAAAAATATTTCTTAAAAAATATTTGTTTTTTGAGAATTGCCAGATTTTTGATTATAAAATAGATAGTAAACGCAATTATAAGTTTGTGTCAACAGCAATAAAACTTACTTTAAACAGGGTAGAAAACAAATCGAAAATAAATAAGTTGAGGGAATAGAAATAACGAAGTACAACGGTAACATTTTATTTCTTACACTCCCTCGAGAAAAGCATAGAGAAACAAAGTACATAATTGAATAACGAGAAGTTAAAATTCTCGTTTTATTATAAAATTGAATCGGAAAGATCGGTTAGATTTTGAATGAAAATGATTTGTGGAATTTAACATCCTGTAAGTGAAATAAAACTTTCAATTAACATCATCTAAATGTAGATTTAAATTTTTTTATTGCAGTCACGCCCCGTTTGTATAATATCGTGCATAATAAAATAATTTCGTACCAAGCCTCCGCTATATTACCATAAATCAAGACGTAGATAACCGCAACTTACCACTATCTAACAATAAACAAAGGTTGTTGCACCGAAACGTGAACGCAATTTATATTCGAAGGTCGAACTATTCTCCATCGAATAAGCGGAATCATGGAATCAAAAAACGCGTAGTTTTTTTCTATGTTGTTTCTATTAGGTACGTGACCAAACGCTTCAACTGCAATTATTTTCTTAAAACTACGCAGAATTCTATGTCGATTTGACGAAAACATTTACTAAGTATGTGGAATGAAAATAACCATTTTGAAAATTAAAAAATGGTATCAATGGGCTAGATGATTGCAAGAGGTAAAAAAGAGATACCATGTTCATAAGTTTCAACAACTGCTTTTTCCACAATGAATATTGAGTCTGAACTTAAATGTTATTCGTACTGTTTCACACGATTCACACATGACTAGCTACTTCATCATTTGGGAATCGAGTAGCTCTACAAGAGATTTGGGGAAAAAGTTTTCTGTGAAACATTAAAGAATAATAAACAGTCACAACAAGGTAATAAATAGACTGATCAATAAATTAAGAACAACCTTGTTATTCGTAAATATTCAAACATTCTTTCCTACTAATCAAAAAATCTTCGTCAATTGTACAAGCAAAGCTATACACATTTAAATTACACATTAATGATCTTTAATTGTAACGATCATTGGACGATTGCAATTTGAAGGTCAGACAACTAAATAAGGTCAGAAATAAATTAAAAAAATTGTTTAGTTTACTTCTGTCCAGTAACACTATGACGATGTTAGAAGTTATAACTTTAAAGGTGTGATAAAATTTGTGTGTATTACATAAAATGGAAACAATTACATTCATTTTAGAATGGGAAAAAATAAAAGTTATAAATCAAAACAATGGTTTATCAAGGCCGATTATATTTTCGAAAATACAATACCTCATAAAACGTTGCACGCAGATATTGATATAGAAAAACATTAAAAACTAAAAAATTAGAGAAATAATTCTAAATCTCTAAGTTTCATCTAAAGCTCACTGTAACGGACACTAAAAGAGAATTATTTGCTGAGGTCTACTCGAACTATTAGAAGACGATTTTACGAGGCAAACAACTTGCATGAACGAATTGCACGGAGGAAGCCTGTTGTAAATAAAAAAAACCAAAGAGAGATTTGAGTTTGCGAGACAACATTTAAATTGAATCCTTTTAAAGTGGAAAACGATTTTGTTTTCAGATCTATCAAAAATAAATCGGTTAGGTTTCGAAGGAAAAGGATTTACGACGTAGAATTTAACCTTAAATACCCTAAACCTGTAGTAAAGTATGGACGTGGCAGCGAAAACATTTTAGAAGAAACCGTCCTTTCTTATGCAAAAGACTTCATGAAAATTCCAACATGACACTATCAGTTCTAGTTTTAATTGTTATGCAGCGCTAGACCAATAACCAGTCATTCAGGTTTAGCCGTCTTAAGAGACGTCCGGGTAAACCCAAATGTTTCTAGTTCTAGGTCTAATATTAGTTCTAGTGACAATGCAAGTGTACAACTAGAACTAAAACTATACCTAGAATTATCAAACGCCGACTCCAAGGCATACAAAGGGATAGAAAAGGTAATCGATCAATACCTTAGAAATGGAGTGCTTGTCACTAATCCACTCCACCCTACCCAACATGCTTAACAGAAAGCAAAATCAATAATTACTGCTCTCCAACACCTCCTATGAATCCATAGAGAAGGCTCTAAACATAAAAGATATACATCCGTCGACAATCAAATGGTGTATAGCCATGTTGAAAAGTCGGTAGATCACAGCCAGTCTGGGAGGCGAGTCGTTGACTATAAAGGCGCTAAGAGGATGTCTCCAAGGGTCTCTAAGAGTGCTATCACCTCTACTATGGTGTCTGGTAGTTGATGACTTGATGAACACCCTAACAAAAAATGGATTCAATATTCAGGGGTATGCTGATGACCTGGTAATCACAATCCGAGGTAAATATGATACAATCATAACTTAACTAATGCAAAAAGCCCTACTACTCACCAGTACTTGGTGTAGAAGTAATAGGCTCAGCATCAATCCAAATAAAATCGAAATAATCCCTTTCACTCGGAGAAGGAAGCTACAAATAAAAGCACCCTCCATTGAAAGCAGAACTATTAACCTCAAAACAGAAGTTAAATACCTAGGGGTAATACTAGACAGTAAACTAAACTGGAACTCACACTTAGACAAGGTGAGGAAAAAGGCCATCATGGGAAACCAGATCTGCCGCAGGCTCCTAGGAAGGAACTGGGCTCTCAAACCATGAATGGCTCATTGGGCCTACGTAGCAATAATCAGACCCATGGTCGCCTACGCCTCATTGGTTTGGTGGCCAAAAAGAAAACAGTTTCTTCACGCAAGTTGATGCAGGGGAACCTCAGAGGACGCTTCCAAATCCTCAAGGACCCATGTCTAAATCACCTGATTGAAGTTAAAACGGACCTTATACCGACAGAATACAATTTCAATCAGCCGTATAAGATTATATTTAGAAGCAGGGATGATTGGGCGAAGGGTGTGCCTCAACTAAAAAGAGGAGCCCTAGCCTGGTTCACCAATACTTCAAAGACAGTTAGATCCGGAATAGGTATGGGCATCAGTGGACCAAATAGCCACATTAAACTGCCCCTCAGCTCGGACATAACAATTTTTCAAGCAGAAGTTCTTGCTATAAACTTCTGCACCGCTTTGAACCCACAGAAGGAACAGACAGGTGTATCCATAAACATTTTCACAGACAGTCGGGCCGAATTAAAGGTAATTCAGGCTTACACGTATGACTCCGTACTGATCAGAGAGTGTACCAGCAACCTAAGAGACTTCTAGGTCACAGCAACATTCAGGGCAATGAGAAGGCGGACAAGCTGGCCAGAGAGGCAGCGAACACGTCCTTCATTGCACCCCAACCTGGTTGTGGACTACAAAGCTACCTAAAACAAATAATCAACAATTGGGAGGTCTCAAAGGTAGCCTTATGCTGAAAAGAACTTCCAGGTCACAGACAAGCGAAGAGTATGCTAAAACGTCGTAAAACAAAACGAAAGAGGTTTTATGCCTGAGCAAAGGGGATCTAGGGACGCTCTCAAGTTAACTGACCGGTCATGCGCCCCTAAAATACCATCTCTTCCACATTGGAGAAGCTGAGGATCAAATTTGTCGACTTTGCAACGACGATTGAGAAACAGCTGAACATATACTGTGCAATTGCGTC